GGAATTTTGGAATACAAATTTTGAATGAAATGAATCATGATCGGGTGGCTTAAAAATTATTATTGTAAAAAAGGTTCGATTCGAATAATTGGGTTGTAATTGTTATTTCCGTAAAACTTAAATGTTTATTTAAATATTTCTTCTTACTCATTAATACTAGTTCTACAATCGAATTTCGGAAGCTCTTTTTTTAGCAGATTTTTTTGAATCGTTTCATTACAAACTGAAATAAACATATATGAGAAGACAGCCAAGTAGGAACTAAATTTTTGGCTTTATTTTTTATTGTTTATTTTTTTTTTTTCGTTTTTTTTTTTTTTTTTAATTATATTTTTTTATTTTTTAATTCGGTTAATTTTATTTTTTAAATTATTTTATTTTATTTTATTTTATTTAAATTATTTTTTATTTTATATTTGCCGTAGCGCATAGGAAGTTATTTCGAATTTCGGCCCGAATTAAGCTTAATTTAGGCCGAAATTCGAAACCACATCCATTTTAATTTTTACTTTTTTATAAGTTCATTTTACCGGGGGGCATCAAAGGGGAGGGTGATGTTAACCGAAAAATTAACTTCAAACGGCCTAAGATACGTAACTAGTTAAAGCTGCTTTGATATAGTTAAAAGATATAATACCAGTAAATACTTATGATGAATAACTTTTCTAAATACAACGATTTATAAACAACCTTTATACTTATCCACTAAATCCATTATATCAACACGAATAAAATAAACCTAAATAAGAAATATTTTGAACTTAAAGCTTATTCTAAATGCATCGAATAATAAACAATCCTACAAATTAACGCAAATAAAATAATATTCTTTATGCTTAGTTAACATACTTATATGCGTAAATACGTACTGGAACAGTGACTAAAATATTTTAGATAATTAATATTAACGTCATAGGCTATTAAGAAAAAAATGTAATAAAACCTTCTCTATAGCGAACCTTTTAATAACAAATAGCAAATTTAAATTTTGGCTCAGTATAAAAATGATAAAAAAGTAGTACGGAGGCTTCTCTTAAAAACATAATAATACGTATTTACTTACTTTATGAACTTCTTTAAAACGAATTCTAAATATAAAACATTAATTTGGCGAAAAAGTGTTCATTTCTATAATGACCTTTAATAATAACTGCAAAATTTTAAATATTAGTACTCCCTTATTAAAAACCTCTTAATAATGAAACAAAATACGTAGTACAGTTGACCTTGCAAAAAATGTTAAAAGCTAGAGTATATAGTTAATTACAAATCTAAAAATCGAAAGAAGTATCGTTAATACTGTAATATACATTAAAAAGATGTTTCGATTTTCGATCACGCGTATTGTACGAAATTGACAGGGCATAGGATTATTTTCCTGTCACGTGATTTTCCGACGTCATATAAAAAATTCATTTACGTTAGGGTTTGGATCAGGGTTTAGGTTAGGGTATGGGTTTGAGAGCTATAACATAGTAAAATTGTGTGAGGAAATTTTTTTGTTAGGGCCAAAAAGGCGATTTACTAGTCTATATTTCGTGTTAAACATAAATTTTGCAAAGCGAACGTTTGTTTTGATTTTCTTTACATTACACCTGATCCTGATTTTTAATTGGCTAAATGTATATCGGAAATCACGTGAACGGAAAATCAATCCTATGCCCTGGCGTTGTTCGTATTGTACCATCAATTGACGGATTCCCTTATGTCAAGAAAATGATCTACAAAAATTAGGCTCGGAGCTAATAAAAATTGCAGGATCTTGCAGATCTTGCAGATCTTAACGTAAATCTAAACAAACACTAAAAATAAAGAAATCATAAATAACACAAAATTTTACTATGGCAACCGACCTTTATTTCTAAGTAAAAAATGCATAGCATGGAATTTTATTTATAGAAAGAATTTTTTATATTAAAATAAACAATATATATATGTAATATTATAAAAATTGGGTGTTATATCAGATGTAGATCATTTTCTTGACATAAGGAAATTCTCAATGGACTGACGTTCAAGAGTTACCAGGCAGGAAGTCAGTAATCAGACTCCAGACAGTGATCTGCAATGACCTGAAGCTAAAATACAACATGCTATAATTTAAACCGAAAATTTATCTAGTCCATTACAGCTTGTCCTAATGAAAAACACAAGTATTTGACATAACTCAATATTAAATTTTTTATTTTTTTTGTAATTTTTCATTTGTACAGACATAACAAGCCTTTTATAAAGAACTTACTCTATGACAAAAAGTTTTTTTTTTATTATAAAGTTCAGTATCAATTACTTTGAGGAACTTTTGAAATTTTTATTATGAGAAAATGCTAGTTCATTATGAAGAGAGTATCTGAATTTCTATTCATATTTACACAAATGCTAGTTTATTATGAAGAATGTGTCCATATTTCTATTCATATTTACATAAAAAAAAAATAACAATATTAAAATTTGAAATTTATACAGAAATTGTATTTAATTTCTGCATTTATAGCTATCAGATTTGAAGTTTTGCACAGATTTTCATTTGATTTATTATTTAATTTTTTTGCAAATCTGCACAGGACTGCACTAAAAAAAATTTCTCAATGAACATGGGTAAAATATTGAAAAAACATGATATTATATCAGTTTTTTTTCTAATGTGAATATTTTTACTAGACTTTGTTTTTTAGAAGTTTGGTATATGGTATACTATTAGTTGATTGGCACTGTTTATTTTATTTTCTTACTTTAGACTTTATTTCTTTTTTATATGTTCGATATTCCTTTTATCTGCTACCTACATTTTTGAAATATATTCTACTTTATTCGAAATTAATTCTATAACTATTTCAATTTGAAAAAAAAAAAAATTGAGAAAAAATTTCTCTTTCAAAAAATTCAAAGGTCCAAAATAAGAAAAGAACTTTAAAAAAACTCTGAAGGCTTTCCAAAAAGTAAGATCACGTGACTGTTATTGGTTACACTGGTGTTTTTTGTTCTGATACTTTAAGTTTCGGCAGGACAGTTTATCAACTCAGCATTCATATGACTTATCTTTCTTATCGGCACAGTAATAAATGACATTAACCATATTTTAGAGACAATAGCCAATGAGATAGGTTTTTGCAAAAGAAAAGTCATGAATGCTGTGTCGGATATCTGATTTCACTGTAAATCCAGGAAATAATATAATAAGTTTGTAATATATAGATATGTACATACATTGTGAAAGTGTGACTAACCACTTTAAAGCTAAAACTAACTAAATACTATACTAAAACTACTTAAACTATCTAAACTATAACTATAATACTTCAAAATTAGCATCAAGACTCCAAGGACCTTATAGTAGAAGGCTTCGAATAGAGGCATAGAAGACTTGGTCTGAGTTACAAGGTTTTTTTGGGTCTTGTTAAGGTTTACCGAGTTTAATATAAGTATCCTTTGGTCCTTATTGTCTTTGAGTTGTTCTATTGTAGTAATATTTCTAACACTTAATATTCTTTTCTTTTCTTCCTTTAGCGTACTACAGCTTTCTTGATCACGTGTGATGTTACTTCGATAACTGCAGCTTTCAGTGGTCCAATATTTAACTTTAATCGGTAATGTTAATTTCGATAATCAATTTTTACATCACGGGAAAGTATATCGGCTAAGCTCAGATTATTTACTGCGTCACAAAGGTAAATTAGCTGAGATCGATTTTCATTATATTGATTATGTCACGAGATCGTGATGTCACAGGAAAATATGATGATCAGTTCTATTGTTTAATTAATGCCAACAGGAACATAGAAATATTATTTCAATTTAAGGCGAAAATTTTGATCAATTTAGACAAAAGTTTCGATTTATTTCAATTTGGCTAAAATTAAGCTTCAAGTCAGTGACTCTGGCTAGAATTAGGAAAATCACATTTATTTCAAATTTCAGGCTTACTGTGAATGTTAATCACATGATAATATTTGTCTTGAGCCAATAATATCATTTTTACATGATTTATTTTATATGTAGCTTTGTGCAAAAAATTGTGAAAAATTTCAATTTTGGCAAAAAATTTTGATTTCTTTTGAAAAATTGCTTTTGAAAAATTTTCATGTCCCTGAATAATGAGGTCATGGGGAGCATAGTGGGCTTTTATTGTAATTGGCTAATTTTAGTAGATCATTTTATGCCATGATATTTAAATTTATCCAATCAGAGATCATAAATTTGAATCATTAATTATAATAAAATAATTGATTTTTTATAATATTTAAATGCTTTTTTTTTATTCTTTTTAACTCCAATTCTATTTTCATAACAATATCCAACCCAATTTGTTTTATTAGCATCACCTATGTTTGCAGCTTTTTGATAATATTCAAATACTTTTTGTCTATTCTTTATAACTCCAAATCCATTTTGATAACAATTTCCAATATTATAAAATAATATAATTACAAATAAGGGCCCAAAGTAATATAAGGGTCCAAATTTATCACATATAAAATTATATAAATATAATTGCCTTTTGATATTTAAATGTATTACTTTTTAATCAGTATTGCATTTATTCTTTTAGTGCCTTTTTATATAAAAATTATAACCACTTTTGTCGATCTTTAATGTAATTTAACTTTCTCTACAAATAAAAAATGAGCTCCTTCAGTTTTAAATATCTTCGATTAATGTATAGCAACCTTTACAAAATATTGATTTACTAGTTTGGCATAATGATAGGGAGTCCGTTAAGCGAAAGTGAAGTGTAAAATGTATAAACCAATACATATATAAGTTATAACATTCGAAGAACCACTATCATCATAATGCAAAGTCTTTATTTGTAAAATTTTTTAAAATCTTGGGCCCCTATATGTAAATTCCTTTTAAAATAATCATTTTTAATGATAACTATATTTTTTATTTATTATTTATTTTATTAGCTATACATACACAATACACGGGTAACAATGATAACAATGGCAACCGAAAAATTTTTTAAAAATAAAACTTTATTAATATTATAAATAAAACTATGCGGCACTAAAATTATTCATGACATTACTATATAATTGATCTATATTACTGTTTAAAACTATATTAACAACTTCAGCAGCACCAGTATTAGTTGTTTTAGGAATGTTTGAATCATTGTCTGCTGCAGCAGCTACTACTGTTCCAATCGAACTTACACTTTCATCAAAAGCTTTACAGTTTTTCTCTATCCTACTTATAAGATAATTCTTGTAATATTTACACTAGCTACTTAACCTAAACAAAAAACATTCAAAGTGATAAGCATGACCACAAATAAGTATAAATCCTACCTCATTCATTCTTGTACAGTTTTCCAAATCACAGTACTTATCATTTCATGAAGGATGTGTGGTATTCTAACCCATTGGCAATGCCTTGATATCAATATCATATCCAAGCAATAGAAAACTATATTTTGAATTCATTGTGACTGATTAACCTAGATTGTTATAAATATTTGTAAAAAGGTTTAGTAAAAAATACAGCAGATTGTTTTTCAAGATACTCTAGTTGTCTCGCTGAATAAATAATATTATGATTATTAGAAAAAGTTTCCACAAAATTATTATTGTCATGCATTAGATCTATTATCTGCGCCTCTCGAATAATTTGATCCACTGTATTGGAAGGCTGGACTCGACGTCGAATTGAGCTATGAAAATTTTCTACAAAATAATCATTAAATACATAAAGAGAATTAGCAAGTGTCTGAGCAATAGGATGATTAATACTATCCCAATAAAACATATTACTCAGAAAGGCTAGTGGAAGCTTATTGTAATTTTTTTGTTTGTATTGATAAAAAATACACCAAATACAAAACATCACTTCTTAATAAACTAGCCAATTCACACTGTGAAATATAACAGGATAAAAGTCCAAGACCAGCAAAATAAAGCTATCCAGAAGATTAATTAAATATCTGACTTCAGGATCTTTTAACTGCTCGAATTTCCGCAAGACAATTAAATGAATTTGAGACCAGCCTTTAAATACTATTTCTAATAAAAGATTAATTTTGTAAGGCTTTGGCTTTTTAGCCAATACCTTCCCACTTCCATAAAAAGGTTATCAAAAAATCATAATTAACAAGAAATACAGATTCGTGACTATTTAAGGATATGTGTAAAGGCCCAATTATTGGCACAATATGAAGAACCTACCACTGTACACCAGAAGAATCTCAAAGCTTGATCCTGTGGTTAACAGCACGTCACACATGAAGTTGCCCAGGATAGTCCATAGATGCTACCAAAATTTGATTATCCAAATATGTTTTCGCTTTACTTATGTTTGTTAAACTTTGGAGAGCGTCTATATAATCTTCTAGTGAATGAAGAGGCCCTACTTTTAATTCGACAAGTTTAGTATTATCCATGCTTCGATCTTCTCTACGTTGTTCAATTCTATTATCATAGCTATGAACTAAGAGATGTTTAACTCGCTCTTTGTATGTCTCAGGCACAAATATCAAATTGACAAATGCTGATTTTATACTGTATAACTATGCCATAAATAAGAAAAAAAAAATAAATAAACATTTTCAATTATTATATTTGCATCAATACCCCTTTGATTTTGAATGCTTTTATTTTCAATGTTTGGAATTGATGCAGTATTTGGCAAGGCTTTAAGCAATATGGTAATGAAGTAAAGGATGTTATGCGTTAACATTGAATCATTACAACAGTACTCATGTATGTTATAAAAATTATCTATGTTAAGTACTATCAAATTTCCATTCTAATTAAGAAATATATTAATTGTTAATATTAAAATTTATACAAGAAAGTATTACAATGATTTACTTGTGCAGCACAAATTATTTATTACTTATATTATTTGACAAAAAATTTTCTACTGTCATCGTTTGCATTTTTGCATGCTGGGTTTTATGTCAAGCAATTGTCTCACACCGTATAGTCAAGCCAGCATCAGCTAAAGTTTCTATTGCTAATGATGATACCCCAGATACATCTAGTAAATGTCCAACCTCTGCTTTAACTCCATTAATAAATTTGTTATTAAGATCTGCAAGAAAATAACAAAATGAAACTAATCTTTTTTTATTTTTTTTATTAGTCATATAACTTTTAGCTTGCAGGTTAGTTCCAGCCACTAATTGATCAAAAAAACCTCTTAATAATAATTCATTTTCCTCAAGCATTTTCTTGAATTCATCTGGGTCAAGAACAAGACTTTCATTATACACATGCTGCCTTGTGTATAATATTTACGCCATTAACTTAATCTTTTTACCTAAAGGAATTAACTCTAAAAAAAAAAAAATGTAAGAAAAAAATATATATATAAGAAACTATCAATAATGAAATAACAAATAAAATAACAAATATAATTATTTAACTACCCAGTCTCATTTCATCAAGCTCTGCACATACTTCATGGTATGTGGTTTCTAGTTCCTGAAATTCAGATTCAGAGTAAATGATATCATTTCATAGAACATATGACCTACCTTGAAATCTTTTCATATTCTCTTTCAAAAACCTTTCTGGTGCCGATGGATAATTGATAAGCTAATGTGTTCTGGATCTTTATCAGTCATATACATACAATGATGACACATTACTGCCTCCTGTGGTAACTCAAAGAATTTAACTAATTGTTCTGGGGCTTTCATAAAATTCTTCGATTATTTGCCTGTAGAAATATAAAAGTTATGTTTGGGATGTAAGCATATGTTAGTTGGTTTGATCTTTTTTGCATTTACTATAAACTTGTTGTAATGTTTCTGGCACAAAGCTTTTCCAACCAAATTCAGATATTGGCTTGAACTTGGAATTATTAATACTTCAGATATAATAGATGCGCCATATTTTTCATAATCGCACTCAATATCTCCATAGCCTTCTAAATCGCAATACTGAGCTTTGCGCTTTCCACTTTGCTTGTTAATAAGAGGTGCACCTTCATGTGATTCATGTGCGGACATACTGCTAGTAACTTAAATGCCTATAACTAAAATGCCTATTTGTAAAAACGGTTCTTAGCTAAGTTCCGAATTACCAAACCAAATACCGAATTACTTTGCCAGTATATAAAATGAAACCTCTACTTTTAAATTCTTTTGGTCTTAACCTTTACCAATTCGTACTCGTGCTTAATAATCCATTTTTATCTTGCGAAACGTTACGCTAATATGTAGAACATATTGTGTAACATTTCGGTCGATCATCCAATCAGATTTAATGCCCGCTATGCTGTCATGGGGGTGATCTACTTAATTTGCTATATAAGGGAAATAATGTGTATTGTAATTCTTCTACTTAATTTGCTATATAATGTGTATTGTAATTCTTTCTTTCTTTACGATCGATTCAAGACTTTACTACTGACAATAATCTCGGGTAGGGAAAATAAGCGATTTTATTTGGGACAGTTTTGGTATTAAAGGTAAAGTGGTTTAGGGAACAACTTCTACTATTAAGACTTCGAAGTTTTTAGAGATTTGTTTTTAAGAACTCGAAGGAGTTATCTTTATTTTCGTGAAAAGTCATCACATTATATAGTTTTTACATTGCTACGGCTGTAATGGCTCAGCGCATATGTTAACAAGTTTTCTTCATTGAAAAGATGAAGAAAATGAAATAAATGAAATAAATTTCATTTATTTCACTTTCGTAATCTTCGTGACCTTCGATCCTTCCAAAATAGGCATCGAGGTTATAATTTTACTAATCTACGTTATTATTATATTGTCCACTATGCTAAGCTTACATATTTGATATGTGACCGATACAATGTTACAAAAATAAAAAAAAAGAAACATAAAAATAAAAAAAAATAAATTCGGGGCCACAGGAGCCCCTTACAACGTACGTAAGTACAATTTTAAACCCATTTTTCAAACGGATATTTGTTCATGATTGCACAAGGTACACTAGTTTTTATAGAATAAATTAAAAAGGCAGAGATCATTTTTAATGAATGTATTTTGCTCTGAATCATCTACTTATAAATTCTGACTCTAATTACTGTATAACGTTTAGCAATATGAATTTTTTCATATAATTTTTACAATATACTTAGTATCTTTTTTTGTGAACTGTCAAAATATCCCTAGCCCTCGCTATGGTCAATCAAGTGCACTAATTGGTACTAAGATATATTTCTTTGGTGGAGGCGGTGATGGTACTGATTCTCATGAGATATGGTATTTGGATTTCTCGGGTTCATTTGACACAACTCAACCTGCATCATCATGGCATAAAGAAGTTTCAATGAACATAACAACTCTTACTGCTGGCGCATGTATTAGTACTATTGATAATTCTACCATTTATATAATTGGTGGAATTCTGTCTAACTCCACTACAGGAGTATACACTTTTAATCCTAAAAATTCACAATGGTCAGCGCCACCTATTACAATGATTAACATTAATTTCTCAATAGGTGATCAACTTAAGCCTGTTATTGATAACAATGGAAAAATTTTCCTATTTAGAGGTGGATATAACAGTGAAATGGATACTATTGATGTAATGACTTTAACTTGGTCACCGATTCAAAATGTTCAGAATGCTCAGAATGTACCTCGTTACTATGTATATTATACTGCCACATTATTACCAAATGGTGTCATAATTTACCTTGGCGGAAAGCAAGTAATAAATAATTCAAGCTATTATACTTATGTTGATTTGAATCAGGTATGATTAGCGCTTATTTTCTTGTTAATATATTTGATTGTTTTACATAATAATTTAAAAATCGATTACAGATTATAAAATTCGACACAAAATCTTCGAGTTGGTCTGGCTTAGTAAGTCAATAATGATGGTTTTATGCTATGATAGTTATTTAATACAATTGCTGCACAGATCTCCAACTTTAGGGATGTTGATTGATCTCACGGCAATTGTCTGACACCTAAATTGTCACGGATCGGCTTACATTACGTAATTCTGGCCGGAATTTAATTTTTTAATTCTGGTTTTCGATCAATAAATCTATAAATGTGTCTGATAAAAATTTGTTAAGTTTTTTGTATTAGTTCATAATTTAGACGTGACTGATTAAGGACCGATTTTCCATACAATTTGGTTCCCAATGGTCTCGAAGACTAATACATCTCTAATGAAATTAAATAAGGAATATCTACAGAAAATTATGGAAATTGCCTTTTTTGAACTTTTTTTAATTTATTATAACTAGGCGCTAGAGTTGCTTAAAGGGAGCTTGAGATAAATGTAATAATACCTGATATCGTATAATGCAGCACAAGG